AACGAATGTCTCTTACGTTTGATCATGTTAGATCATGATCCGTTCTAAGCTTTGTATACATGTAGTTATCGTCGCATAGCAATCTTATATCATCTTTTATGGTGAATATCTTTGTATAAATGTCCATATAATTACCCTGATGATGGATCATGTGAGCCGAAAGCTTAGATCGAGGAAATGTATAATAAAAATATATCCAAATGTTGAACAGTTTTTGTCTTTATTTCCCCCCGAAATTAAAGTAAGTATACGAAGCTTCGAACGGCTCGTGATCAAACTTAATAGACATTCGTTGTCTGTTATATTTAACAATATATGTTTTTTTGAATATATATACATATATATATATATATATATATATATAATATATATATATATATATATATATATATATATATATATATATATATATGTGTGTGTGTGTGTGGGGGGGTGAAATGCCCATCTTCACAGATGACCGCCGTCTTGTCCATCAACACCTCCATTGAAGTTAGATCATTGTTTCCGTTCGAATGACTTAAAAGGCGCCCCTTCAAACCAGCAGCTGATTTGCAATGTCGATAGCACCGATGTCTTCACAGGGTTAAATGAATGTTGCTGCGGTAGGTCATCTTTGTGCATCATCATATGACTCTTCAATCCAGATGTCGATTCACATAATTCCCTGCAGATCACACATGTATATATGAGATATATAAATCATATATATATAGATATATGATATATATAAATATATATCATATATAAATATCATATATATATATATATATATATATATATATATATATATATATATATATATATATATAAAAGAAATATAATGTAGTGGTTCTAACGAGAGAAAAGTATGTATATTAAAAAGAAGAGAAGAGAGGTGCCGCAAACATTTTTGGCTGTAAAGTGGATTTATTTAGAAAAAATATTATGCTTTGTTTTACACAATTTTACGACACGTGTTTCTGGTCTCACCGTCTTCAGGTAAAAGTGGAGATTTCCACATATTATTAAAAATAATTAATTTTTCCTCATGTTCAATCTTAAATATTCTCGATATGAGACATTTTCTGTTTGTGTGTTGGTAATCTGAAATTCTTTCTTGAATATATATATATATATATATATATATATATATATATACAGTGTAACCCGGATATAAGAGACCCGGATATAAGAGAAACCCGATATAAGAGAGATTTTCTCTGCTCCCAAAGTGTTCCCATACTTACCTAAACAAAATAGACCAAACCAGGATATAAGAGACTTCTTCTCCGATCCCGATAACTCTCTTATATCCGGGTTACACTGTATATATATATATATATATATATATATATATATATATATATATATATATATATCACACGTACTGACTGTCGCTTCCGGGTGTTGATTTCAATGTACACTTTTTTGTTTACATACGCTCTATCCCTGATATTGAGCACTTTAATCCATAAATATAGCATGCCACAAATATATATATATATATATATATATATATATATATATATATATATATATATATATATACACCAGGTGTACAGAAATTATATTTAGAATTTTAAAAATTATTACAAAAGCGAATGAACAGACAAATAAATGAAAAAATAAAGAGTAGATACTGATTTTTTTTAATTAATTTAATTCCCCTCTATATGGACACCATTTAGTTGGACGAAGCACATCATGACGTTAATCGATTTACACGATCGATTTTTTCCTCAGAAATTTCTTGTGCCATGAACGAATTGACTGACATGACGATGGATCTCTTCGATACTTAGTTTTGTAGTTTCGCTGAGTTTGTATTTCCGATTTTGTTTCAATAAACCATGACACAGATAGTGACTTTTTAAGGGTTCATTTCAAAGTACCTCTTTCATCAGCAGAAAACCTGAAATACATATATGTGATTAAAAACTTAACTACTGAGTACATAGAAGAAATCTTATTAAAATATCTCCTAAATTGGCTTTGTAATATATTTTTCAATTGTAAAGAAACTTTATGCACACACACACACACACATACATATGTATGTGTGTGTGGAGGCACGGTGGAGCAGTGGTTAGCGGCTTGGATTGAGGAATCGCAGAGCCGAGTTCGAATTCCCGTCGAATCCACTGCATTCACTTACGTGCTAATACCCTTGGGAAAGGTATGTATCCTCTTCATCTCCCTCCAGGACAGACAGACTGGGTTCTATAGCCTTGGATGGCAACTGGTCTAGGAGAAGGACAACTCTGAATTCAAAACCTGCGGAGGGTCGTTTGGGAACCTTGCATCGGTGCACCAGGTTTCTGTATTCGTCCCGCCAAAAAGTGTGGCTGGTCCTGCACAAGGCCTTCACCACTATAAACAAATCTCATGTGCCGGTGTCGGGATGTCGGTTTCCTGGGGACTTATCGGCCTGACCTCATACGTCGAACGCGACGGGAGAATCGATTATTATGTGTGTGTGTGTGTGTGTGTGTCCGATGCGATGAAAACGAAAGTAATATATAAATTCCAACGTTCACAGCATTAATCCAAAAGAGCGATAATTAATTCTATTTAATTATTCTACAAGCAGGATTTTTCATAAACATTTTCGATTATCATCCGTCGAAGTGCAGTTGAAATTCACTGAAACGAAGTTGTATCTTTGTAGTGAGTAAAATGGTTTTGTCTATATGATAAAATTATAATATATATATATATATATATATATATATATATATGGATCATCCATAGTAAATTTGCATCCAGGTTCTCACAAGGTTTCACTTATTTACAGCCTGTTACATGCATTGCGATTTTTCAAAATGGGTGCTTGTTTTTTCTTGTTTTTTTTTTGTTTTTTTAAGCACTCCCATATACCTAGGAAAAGAAATATACCAATAACACACAGAGACACAGATCCACATAGAGACACAGACACGCGCGGACACGCACACTCACAACACACACACACGCACGCACACACACATACATACATATAATATATATATATATATATATATATATATATATATATATGGTAAGCCGATACAAATAATAATATTGACAATACAACTAAATAATTTTATTATATATTATTAATCTTTTTAATTATTATATATTATTAATCCTTTTAATTATTATATATTATTAATCCTTTTAATTATTATATATTATTAACCCTAAAATGAAGCAGGATGAGAACACTTGTTAAAAATCGGAATTTTCGAACTGTGTCCTCTATCAACGAGAAAGTAAAAATGTAGTTGGACATTTGGGGTGAATTTTTTTCCCTATGAGTTATATATATATATATATATATATATATATATATATATAACAGTACGATGAAATTCTAATGGACGAAATGCGTCACAAAACTTTTCCAGTTTGTCATATATATATACTCGACTCTCCCGTCGAATTCGACGAATGTGGATCAAGCAGATCAGTTCCTAGGAGCCGACAGCCCGACACTAGCACATGAGATTTTATTGTTGTGAAGGTTTTGTGCAGCATCATCCATACTTTTTGAAGGGCCGAATACAGAGACCTTGTGCACTATGCATGTTTTGAAACCAGAGTTTTTCTTCTCTTAGACCAGTTGCCATCCAAGGCTATAGAACCCATATATATATATATATATATATATATATATACGGGGCGATGGGTAAATTGTCGCCATTAATTATATTTACAAATTAGCACATGCGCGTTGTTTGGATTTTGTCAACTGCACAGTCGGATACCGTCTGTGAGAAAAAGAGCACCATGACGCAATTCACTCCACCAGAAATTTGGTAATGGCATGCTTTACTGCTTGGCATTTGCACCGGAAGCTCCAATATTACCATTACAGAGTGCTTGGGTGTCAATCTGAGGACAGTGCAAGATTCGGGAAGAGTTCGATGAGTCTAATGGTAATTACGAAGACGTTTGCAGTGATCACTAATGATGGCGAGGTAATGCCGCTCTTCATCTGTCTACATAGCTTCAGACTCAACAGAGAGGCCTACATCAATGCCTTGGGAAGGTAGTGCTGCCGTTGGTCAAGAGAGTGGCTTCTGAAATACTCTATATCTGGCAAGAGGACTTCACGTCATGCCACACAAGCAGAAGAACCCAGTCATGGCAGTCAGGCAATTTCTGCGACCACACTACGCCTTAATCTAGCCACCTAACTCCCCAGAGTGTAAACCTCTTGATTATTATGTGTAGGGCAAAGTTGAACGAGAGAGCAACAAAACTTCTTGTAACACCAAAGATGAACTGAAGGCAATGATTATGGCAGCATTCACCAACTTAAACAAGGAGACTGTCCAGAAGAGTTGCAGGAGATTCCGAAGTCATCTGTAGGCCGTGGTTGATTCCAGTGGTGATTTTATTGAATAAATTTATTCTTTGGTATTTCAAGATATTTTTGCGTAGATAGATAGATAGATAGTAAGCCGATGGAAGAAATTCGAAAAATATAAAACACCAGAAATAGTAATATCTATTATGTCTTAGTAGGCCTATTGACCAAATGGAAGCATGATGAGAAAGATGTTAATTGATGTGTTCCTTTTCAATGAGACGAGAAATAAAAAGAAATTAAGTGGGAATTTACATACATACATATATATATATATATATATATATATATATATATATATATAGTCAGAATACTGAATGTAACACCAATCAGGAAAGTGATAGAATTAATAATTGTATTAATTCTCGCTCTCTTCCTCCCTCCCTCCCTTTCTCTCTCTCTCTCTCTCTCTATATATATATATATATATATATATATATATATATATATATATATATGTGCGCAAGTATGCAGAAAAATAGGAAAGAACACGTTAGGTAAATAATCCGGAGTTCCTTAGTATTTTTGTTTGTATTTTAAGAAGTCAGTGCTCCATACAGAAGTAGAGCTTATATTATAATATTTGTTTAAAAGTATGATTCCATCGCTACATAAGAGTTCTCATGTTTCAAAAACGAGTGCCTGGGACCATACTTATAAACACGCGCAA